CAAAACAAAATTAAAACATGAGTGATTTTTTTCACTTATCTCAGAAATGACCAAATTAAAAACAAATTCTCTCTCTTTCCTTTTGATATTTATTCATTTATTTATTTATTTTATTTTTGGATTTTCGAGACAGGGTTTCTCTGTAGCTTTGGTGCCTGTCCTGGAACTAGCTCTTGTAGACCAGGCTGGCCTCGAACTCAGAGACCCGCCTGCCTCTGCCTACCGAGTGCTGGGATTAAAGGCATGCGCCACCACCGCCCAGCTCCTTTTGATATTTTGAAACAGTGTCTCACTACGTAGCCCTGGCTGGCCTGGAACTCACAGAGATCCGCCTGCCTCTGCTTCTCAAGTGTTGGGATTAAAGGCATGCACCACACAGGGTGAGAAATCTGTTTTTAGCATAACCAATAAAGTAAATGTTTAAAAGCAATAAATCAAAAATACTTGGGGCAAGGCATGTATGTCATGTGTGCAGGTGTCGTGTCTTCCTGGCTAAATAAGACCTAACTGCCCACGTTTTAATTTTAGTATTGATGACCCACAAAATACGGGGTCATGTCGGGAGACTAGAGGCATAGAAGCCCAAGTTCCCGCCTCCCAAGTCACACACAGAGACTGCACTTGAGAAAGCTCTTTCAGGCCTGACCCACCTTTCTCATTGGCTGCCTGGAGCAGGACTTTTGTTTCCTCCAGCCCAGGACCCAGCTGGTCTTGCGGCGGACAGGCTTCCTGCGGCTGCTGCTGTCTGAAGAGCTCCCCGCTCCAGGGAGGCGGATGGCTGCTCTCCAGCAGGCTGAGAAGCGGAGGCGCGGTGTCAGGGGGCCCCTCCAAGGGGAAGGCTGCGGTGTCTTTGTTACACAGTTTCAGCATCTCTGGGACCGAGCTGATCGTTCCTTTCTCCACATGTTTTCTCTGCCCTGGCTTTATTTGTAACTGTCATTTGCCAACTGCTTTGGAACTTTTGGGCGGCATTGAGGGTGGCTCAGTGTTCCTTCTACTTAAGTCTCCAGGGTTCCACTGTGCGAGCACCCCAACCATTCATTTCTCTAGGAACTTCTCCAACAGGATGGCTTTCTTTAGGCAGCCAGTGTGGTGCTGAGTTAGAACTGAGAAAACAAGATCTTTCCTTTCTCACCTTACCCCCCCCCATCTACCTTTGCTACCCAATGGCTACCCAATGGCTACGTTAGAGAACTCGTATCTTTAAACTATTTACTATACTCAAGGACAAAAACAAGCTGTTCAACACCTGTACCTCCATTCCGAGGTATTCAGCTGTTAGATTTGTCTTGAGTATAAAACAAACAAGGCCAGGCCCTAGTGATGGAATGACACTGACGTTAAAAACTCCCTGCCCCACCCCCAAAAAACAAGAGACACCGAGACACCGTGTTTGGGCAACTGTTGCGCACTGGAAGAGGGGGGATGAGGACACACGGACACACAGACACACCACACAACACGCAGAGGCAGGTGGAGTTCAAGGACAGCCTGGTCAACAGAGTGAATTCCAGGATAGCCAGAGAAATGCAGTTTCAAAAATCCAAAATTAAAAAAAAAAAAAAGAATTAAACTGGGTGGTGGTGGTCCATGCCTTTAATCCCAGCACTCAGGAGTCAGAGACAAGCAGACCTCTCTGTGACTTCAAGGCCAGCCTGGTCTACAAGAGCTAGTTCCAGGACAGACTCCAAAGCCACAGAGAAACCCTGTCTCGAAAAACTAAAAAAAAATAAATAAAAAAGGAAAAAGAAAGAAAAACTAGCCTGCTGGGTTGGGTGGGCAGTGAGATGGTGCAGTGTGTATGGGTCCCTCTGTCAAGCCTGACAACCCGAGTTCAGTTCCCAGATACTACAGGGTAAAGGAAAGAACGGACTTCCAAAATCTGCCCTCTGCCCTCCACGTGTGCTGTGGCGTGTGCTTCTCCTAATACATAATTGTGAACAAATGAAGAGAGGCGGGCGAGGACCAGTCCTTCTACGACTTCTGGGACTAGGCCAGGGGACCCAGGCTCCATTCCCAGCACTCATACCCTGATGCACAAACATCCATCACCTCCGGTTTGAGGGAATCCAGCACCCTCTTCTGACCTCTGCGCACTAGGCACACATATGGTGCAAACACACATGCAGGCCAAACATTCATACACATAAGATAAAACAAGTAAGTTCAAAACAAATTTTGAAGAAAAAAATGTTTTTTTTTTGTTTGTGTTTATTTTGTTTTTTTACCGCAGACCTGTGGTAGTGGTGTCTACCTTTAATCCTAGCATTTGGGAAGTGGAGGCAGGAGGATCTCTGAATTTGAGGCCAGTCTGGTCTACAGAGAGCTCCAGGACAGCAGACAGCAGATACTCAGAGGAAATGCTGTCTCAAACAAAGCAGAAAAAAAAAGAAAAGAAAAAGGAGGGGGCTGGAGAGATGGCTCAGCGGTTAAGAACACTAGTTTGTTCTTCCAGGGCGCCTAGGTTGAGTTCCCAGCACATATGTGGTGGTTCACAGCCATCTGTAACTCCAGTTCCCTGAGATCTAGCACCCTCTTCTAGTCTCCAGAGGCAGACACCCAGGCACACATGTGGTATACAGTCATACATGCCGGCAACACACCCAGATGCATAAAATAAAAATAAGTTTTTTAAAAAGGTTTTGTTTGTTTGTTTCTTCAAGACAGGGTTTCTGTGTGAATGGACATGTCCTGGAACTTGCTCTATAGACCATGCTAGCCTCTAACTCACTGAGATAGACCTGCCTTTGCCTCCTGAGTGCTGGGATTAAAGGCATGTGTCACCACCACCCAGCAGTAAAAATTAACTAAATAAAAGTGATAAAAGACCTAGAATGAGGGGCTGGAGAGATGGCTCAGTGGTTAAGAGCATTGCCTGCTCTTCCAAAGGTTCTGAGTTCAATTCCCAGCAACCACATGGTGGCTCACAACCATCTATAATGAGGTCTGGTGCCCTCTTCTGGCCTGCAGACATACACACAGACAGAATATTATATACATAATAAATAAATAAATATTAAAAAAAAAGACCTAGAATGAAAGTGAAGGTACTTACCTCCCACAGTCTCAGCATACTAAAGCACAAGCCCGGACGGGTGAGCACACCTGTTTACAGCTTGCCTTTCCTTTGAACATTGTTATCTCTTTGTCTTTTGTTCTGTTCTGTTTTGTTTTGCTCTTTGAGACAGGCTTTCTCTCTATATAGCCCTGGCTGTCCTGGAAATCACTCTGTAGATTAGGTTGGCCTTGTGGCCTCCATCTCTGTCTGCCTTTGCCTCTGGAATGCTAGGATTAAAGGCATGTGCCACCATGCCTGTAAAATTTGTAAGGTTTCATAATTCTCTCATAGAAACAGTGCTCTGGGAGCAGACTTTGTACTTACTTTTCCACAAGTCTGTCATAACTGTCACTCAGCAATTTCCGTTCATTTTCCAAATCTTCAACTCTGACCTGAAACTGAGAATGACAGAATCCTAGCGAGCACGCTTGTCTTGCACGTCACGGCACGGGCTTCTCTACACAGGCTCTACAAGTTGTCATTTGAAAGACTGCCTGTCAGTGGCACACACCTTAAAACCCAGGGCAGAGGCAGTCAAGTTTGCTACCGGTCTAGTCTACAGAGTGAGCAAGTGCCAGGATCTCCAGGGCCACTTGGTTAAAACCCTCTCTCAAAAAACAAAAACAAACAAAAGATTGGAGCTAATTGAAAGAAGGCTGAGTGCCAGGCGGTGGTGTGTGCAAGTCTTTAATCCCAGCACTCAGGAGGCAGAGGCAGGAGGATCTCTGTGAGTCCGAGGCCAGCCTGATCTACAGAGATAGTTCTAAGACAGACTCCAAAAGCTACAGAGAAATCCTGACTTGAAAAACAAAAACAAAAAAACAACAACAAAAAAAGTAGGCTGAGAACTTTTATTGGAGTTAGTGAACTCTTTGATGTACGTTTTCCTTACAACCATCAGAGAAATGGCAAAGCATCATGAAATATGAAAGTGGTCAGGGAGCCGAGCGGTGGTGGCGCA